TTTAAAAAATATACTTATTTGTTTTTAAACATGTCCTTATTAGTCATTTAATGTTAAATAACAACCGTTAACCATTGAATAATCAAACAATTATATTTATCGAATCCGTTATTTATCATCCGCTACCCACTTTTCGTTATCCGCCATCCACCATCCACTATCCGCTAACCGCCACCCGTTATCCGCTAACACCACCCGCTACCAGCTACCGCTATCTGCTATCCGCTGAATTTTAACCGTTATACCAAATAGGCCCCAAGTCAAATAAATTTTTGTGCAGTTTCCTTAAAATCTTAAAAAAAAAAAAAATGCATACCTAACCCACCCTAACGTATTGTTTGGATTGGAGGTATCGGACGGAGAGGGAGGGGAAGGAATGAGGACGAATGATAAGGGAGGGGGAGTGAGAGGAGGTTGTCCTCTTCCTCTCGTTTGGGTTTCTAAAAAGGTGGAAGGGAAGGGAAATTGACAGATTTGGACTCTCTCCAACTACCATCAACTCTGCAGATTTGCAATCCTTCCGATTTGAGAGATTTGGGAAGGATTGCAAAAATTATTTAAATTAGGCTAAAAATAATTACATAATTAACATTTTCATATATTACCATAAATTGTCCTCCTATCTTAAAAAATAAATTTATAAATTTATAATTAATTTAAATTATTCTCTTCCTTTTACCTTAATTATCCAAATATAAAAAATATAATCTTTGCCTTCCCTTCCCCTTCTTCATTTTTATTTATCCAAACAAAATTAACACAAATCATCTCCTTCTATTTTCTTCCCTTCCCTTTCCTTTCTTTCCCCTCGTTTTCCTTCTATTTTCCTCCGTCCCCCTCCCTTCCCTTCCCTTCCCTTTACTATTTTCTATCCAAACAGTACATAAGTGTTTCGCAAGTTTATAACAATATAGTTTTCTCTTTTTTTTTGAGTAAATTAAAACGACAAAGTTTGACTCATATGAAATCGGGACAAATAATTACCATTCCTAACTGTAAATTTTAACTACATAAAAAAGACAGTAAAATTCAGGTGCTCCCAAGTCCCTAACACCAAATGAGGTCAAGAACACTGATTTTATTTTTATTTACATTAAGGCTTTATTTGTCCGTATTGTGCTAAGCTGTGTTGTGATTGTAGTTACTCTCCTATAAAATCCTAAATGAACCTTGATCCCAAAAGGAACGAACTTCTTGTGCAAAAATCAAAATTGAAAAAAGAACACACACACAATTAAGGCATCATAGTTTACTATTCTTGGTGAAAATCATAGCATACCTTACTGATTGTAAAGTAACAAATTATGCTTCTTATTTTTAAGTTCTCAGTACTGCTAAAATCCTGAATCAAAACACCAGCATTCTCTTCACAAACACAAGAAGATACCCTTTCAACAAGTATGTTTCCAGGGTCTTGCTAATAAAGAAGTAGGAAAAAAGAAAAGATATCCACACTTCAACTTGTGAAAATATATGCAGTAAAAATACCTTTCACTCCATTCCTGACGAACATTAGGCTATAAGATAAGAGTAGAAATCATACTCCAAGGCACAAAAATGAAACTGCAAATAAGATTCCCATAAATTCTGTAGTGACAGGCATCATCTGATGCATGATATTGCATTTGTTAAAACAAGTGATTGTTTAAGTACCTATCTAATCAATAAAAATCAGTAACCTTCCAGCCTACTACATAGTTCCTTTAGACACTGTGTAACCCCTGCAAATATAAGCTTCTATTCTTTATTCTTCAAATTCAGCAAGCTAAACTTCAGCATGACTTCCAGCTGGCTTCTCATATAGTTTTCAAGGGTGGCATACAAGAATGAAATTTGCTTGTCACATTATCCAACACGCAGAAAAGCAGAATCCTTGAACGTTAGTTTGAAGGTATTGCCTGCCAAAAGAAAGGAGAGCCTTTTCTCATTGACAGCAACACAAACACCAAACCGAAAGGGATGAATTAAGAAAATCAAGGGTGTCTTTGCACATTGGTGTGTGTGTGTGTGTGTGTGTGTGTGTATTATATTACTGGTCATGTATTATTATTACTGTCCAAGCTCCTGAACCAGCTATGGGTGTGCAGGGTCATTTTCCGGTCTCAAATTTTAAGTTCTAACAGTTAACTTCTTCTCAGAATTCAAATCCAATTTATGCCTTAGACCTTTGACAATAATTCAACTTGAAACTAAACCCGCCCCTCCCTTATAGTGTATTACTTAACAAATCCATATCTACAACAAGCAATGGAATTCACTAGCTCTTGTTTATCTAGTCCTGAATGTAACTAGTGATTCATAGTTTGTTCATTCCATGTTACTTTCCTCTTATTTTTCTCAATTTTTTGAAGATTGAACTCATTTCTTACAAACCCAAAATTCAGCAGCACCTGCTAAGGAAATGGCCAAAATATACTATTATGTCAATGGCTAGTTTATTTTAGCCACACTAGACGATTCTATTTTTTCATGGCTGACAAAATTCTCATGAATCAAACAACCAGACAAGATCCCCTAAGGAGCTTCATTACAACCACTTCATTTTAATAATGTGAAAACAACTTCCAATGGTTATCCCTTCACCTACCACTAGCATTTGATTCTACATGCATACTTTGTGCACCATAGAAATTCCAACAAGGAAAAGCATACATAAGAATTCTGGTTTACCCAAAAGCGGGAATCCATCTCCAGTTTTGATTAAAATAATGGGGGGAGTTAAACACCCCCACATATCTAGGGGGTAACAAGGGATTGAGAGACAAAGGAAACTAGGAAAACAAGTTTTTGTTTACTTAATGGCTCCTGAATTTTTTAAGCATAAGACATGCATACAAAACAAAACAAGAAGTTAACTCTAACATGCTCCCCTCTGTTGGCAAAAAAATAAAAAATAAAAAAAAAAACCGTAATAAATGAGATTCTAATAAATTAAGCAGAAGAAGGAACTAGACCTTTGGACAGAAAGTAGGAAGCTGCAAATATCCACAAGCAAAGATATGACAAGAACATTGACAAAAACAGTGGCCTCAAGAGCAGATTTTAAACGGTGGTAGATCAACTTGGCTTTACAACTACATCAACTTTTCAAAATGTATGATCAAAAACCAGAATGCGATTTTTTTCACATACTGGTAGACAGTAGAATCAACACCTAAAAAGGAAAATCCTAGAGTTGAATCTGTTAGTTATAATGATTTTAAAGGATTAAAACTAAACAACAAGTGTAAAACCCCTTCAATCCATGAAAATGATGCCAACAAAATAACCAATATGATACATTTAGGTACATCCGAAGTTAGCCAAGTAGCATAGAGGTTTGAATCCTACAACCTTGATCCCAAATTGAGGTTTGTTTGTTAGTGGATACCAACTCGTTTAAGGTCTTGTTGGTAAACACTCTAGTATAACAATTATACATTATAGATCAATGCCAATTAGATTTTAAGGATAATGATTTTATCACATCAACCCCAAGAAATTTTCATAACACGTTACCGGAGACCCACTGAAAGTAAAGGACCCAAGTATGAACAACACATTGAAAGTAAAGGACACAGGTATGAACAACACATAATTCTGGATAAAAAATTCATACCGAGGAAAGTCTTCATACTCAATTGCTCTTGGAAGCCATATTTTTCCTAGCTGCCCTGGCATTATCATACTCGAACTTGAAAACATCGGGTATATGAGAAGTATCCTTGACATAAAACATCCTCCCAAACACACTCTCCTCAATCATCGGAAAGTAAGAGAAAAGCACAGAATTGACCACCCAAAACCAAACCCATCCAAGAAAGGCCCCCAAAGCTGCCCCGGCGAGAACCTGAGCAATGGTGTGGTACCCCAGATACACCCTCGAATACATGGTGAGCAGAGCCATGGACCAGGGCAAGAACAAGAAAGCCCATTTGCTTTTAACCTTCCAGATCCCTCCGATACCTTTAGCAGTCAAGAGCGTGATGTACACAGCGAAGAAGAACATGTACTGGGAGTGGCTGGAAGGCCATCCATGGGAATCGCAGGTTTCCAAGAGAGCACAGGTCTCGGGTCTCGCCTGTTGGACGGATTTCTTGATGAGGTCGTTGACGAACTGAGATATAAAGAGGCCGAGAGCAAAGAACATGCCCTGGAGCTCACGGCGGAAGATTAAATGGGAAACGAACCCACCGAGGCTGATGAAGACCGGAACGAGAGAGACCCAGGCTAAGAAATGGCCGAGTTGATCTCCCTTGGTGTAACGGACATGGGTCAGCGTCACCGCCTTGAGTGGTGGCGTTGGCATGGCGTGGGGAGGGAGATCTGGGGTTTTAGAGGAGAAAAAGAGTAACGGGGTACTTCGGTATCGGAATCGGATCGGCGGACTGCGCCAATTGAGCTTGGTTGGACTAATCTGGTGTTTGGCTGTGGAGAAAATTGAAACAGTTAGGAATAGAATTGTCGAGGAGTTCAGGGACCTCAAGTTGGCTACACGTGGTGACGTGGGAACGTAAAATAAGATGAACGCTCACACGTGCAAATGCTACATTTTCTCCTTCGTTTTTCATTTTTCTTCTTTTCTTTTTTATTTTACAATTCTTCCTTTCTTTTCATTTTTTATATTTCTTAACTGGCAATATTATATTAAATGAGAATAACTTTTTTTTTTAACATTTGATTATGGATTATATAAGGAAAAATAACTTTTTTTATTTTTTAATTTTTCTTTATCTGATTCAAGGTTTAAATTTAAAATTTTTAATTTAAAATATTAAATTTTTAATTATTAAATCACTATATTGACGTTAGTAAATGAATATAATATGATATTAAATAAATAAATACTTAATATTATAAATAAACTTTTACATAAAAAAATTATTATTTAATGACATATCATATTAAATATTTATCATATTATGTAATATTATAATTATGATATTTTCATTTCTTAACATTCTTTTTTTTTTAAATTAACAATTTAGGAGTAAAATTTAAATGAGCATTAAAAAATAAACTATTTAAAATTTAAAATGATCAATTTTTTTTTTTCAACAATGTGTCATGGAGCAAGTTCGAACACCCATTCAAGGAGAGCAGGGATGTACCTCAATGTGCAAAATGATCGAAAATTTTGAATATGGAATTTATTAACATTTTCATTCTTAGTGTGCACATTTCATAAAGATAGTGGGTTAATGAGTTTGGTTAGAGAGAGTTAAACAACACTATTATGGCAACAATATGATAATAAATCCACATATGAA